CCCCAAAACCCCAAAACCCCAAAACCCCATAATGCTCAAATTTCTGTTAAGATATCATAAATAGAATAGGAAAAACTAATTTAAATTATAATCAAATAAAGAATCTTATGTATCAACAAGTTCCCTATTCTTCACAGCATTAACCTCCCATTACTCAGTACCCATCTATTAATGTTCACATGCAGTATCATGAATAGCAATAAAGTCAAATGATATCGCCCATGAACTATCATTCTGAATTGCACTCACAACAGTATTTCTACCATCCTCATTATTAAAAGCCATAAGATATTCCTGATGTCTCTGCTTAAATTCCCTAGACTCCAATAGTCATGATTCCTTATCAAGAGAAGCATTTAAAGTTTGATGGTCAGAGATGGCTGATAAAGTCATAGATATTGCTTAAAAACGTCAATAACATCAATATAAATGATTGGATTGCTTTCTTTGAGGAAATAGTTCTTCTTTTCAATGAACTTGGCTATGCTTTTGGAAAAGCTTTTGGGGATCTCCAAACTAAAATAGATACGATCAAAGCTGATATGCTATTATGGAATCAAAAAGGAGTGCAGCTAGTGACTATTCAATAAGCAATAGATTTTGAAATATTCGAAGGAGTAGCTAACTTAAATGGAAAATAGAAGAACTAGCATTTGTATTAAGCTCATGATTTCAAAAGTACCTATGCTTCAATTTCCAGAACAATTTTAAGAAATATGTGGCTTCTTGATTTTATTTATCACTTCCTAGATTTTGCCTACGTCAATAGAACTCAGAAACTTTCTAGTTGTGCTTTTGAGTCTTACAAGATTACACTTGGCTTGTATCACACATGGCTTATGAGAAAAACTGCTGAGATATGTATGTATGCTTGCCCAAATAGAGATGTCATGATAAATTTGATATCTTATGAACAGAAATTACATCATTGAATACAATCATAATTATAATGAAAGATAATCAAGAATAGGAAGACAAGTAACAGAGTCATAATCATCACCATGATCACCCTCATTATGTGTATCATGAGGCTAATATTGTAATAGGAGAACCACAAGAAGATGATAAAAGCAATGATAGGATCATTTAGGATACAAAATAGGAGAATGTAAACTGGATTAAAAGTTTATTCCAAAGATTTGATTCATCAGCATTGGCAGTCTATTTCCTAAACTATGCAAATTTAGGTTTTCTGACATTCTTTACCCTTGAAGTCAAAGATCTAATGAAGCATTATTTGAATGTAGAGCCGGCAAAACTATAATCAACTACTGCTTTGCTATTTATTCCTTGGAGTATTAAGATTATTTATGGAATGCTATCTGATTGTGTTCCAATCTATGGCTACAGGAGAAAGTACTATTTGATAATAAATGGTTTTCTGAGTTTCTTTACTATTTTGATAATCGTTCCTGACTTCTTCAACAGCTACTAGAGTGTTACATTCTTCTTGGTAATGCATATGATGACCTGTGCTTCTACTGATGTTCTCGCTGATTCCTTGATGGTAGTTGAAGCTAAAAAAGATCCGATAAGAGGCAGTGAAGATTTGCAAACACTCTCTTTTCTAACCAATAGCATTTTCAGTATAGCAGCTAGTTTAATTGGAGCCTACTTCACCTAGTATATTCACCCTAAATGGGGTCTTTTAGCCTATTCCATATTTGGATTATCAATATTTATATCTGCTTTAAGACTAAAAGAAAAGTAAGAAACATTTACTACTAGCAAATGCGAAAATATCTCAACTCTTTTCTCGCAGGTATTCAAATCTTTGAAGACACCAATAATTTATAAAGTTTGCATCTACTAAATTATCTCAGGCTCTATTATTCCAAGATTCTAGGAGTACAAATACTACTATTTCCTTGATAAACTGAAATATGAAGAGTACTAATATGCTTTGCTCTATATCTTATCTTCAATTTCAATGCTACTTTTAGTCGGTCTCTTCCATTGGGTTTTCCACAGATTTAGCTATAGATAAGCAATGGCGATTGCTATTTTACTAACAAGTTTCACAACTTTCTTTGATTTAGCTTTTGTGTTAAGATGGAATACTTACATTTACATCCCAGACTATATCTTCATTCTGTTTACCAATTTATTCGAGGACTTCATTGGAATGAGATACTCAATTATTGCTAATGGTGTTATTAATGCAAGACTCACACCAGATGCAGTTGAAGCATCAGTTTTTGCAATTTTCACAGGATTAAGTAACCTTGGATTTGGTTTAATTGGTTCAATGATGGGCACCTATTGGAGTAACCTCCTTAATATTAACAGATAAAATTTGGACAATTTCTATCTAGGTCTTATTTTGAAGCTTGGTCTATCGTTTGTACCATTATTTTTCTTAAAGCTTATTCCTAACAAGGAAGACATCAATTAAGATGAAGATTTGAAAAGATTAAATTTGCAGGATGCAAAGGAGTAGCTTATCCAAGAAAAAGCAAAAGAAAACTGAGAATTTTACTTCAATTTGTATTTAAGTTCGATGAATATTGATGTATGATACCCTTACATCAAATTTTAATTTATTTATTCTTTATCTTACAAAACATCATCAGAAATTAATCTTATTTCAATATTCAGGGGTTTTGGGGTTTTGGGGTTTTGGGGTTTTGGGG